GTACGAAAGAAAAACTAATTCTAATAATGTGCCCTATATCGACAAGTTGTATAGCACATGTCATTGATTTTTGCAATCAGTGATGTGTGAAAATAAAAACAGATGATCTCAATTAATTGTGTGTCGGATTGCACATCGAACAGCATTTATTTACCTTCACGTTAAATGCATATGGGCGCTGTTATTTGCACGAGCTCTAACTAAACACGCTCGTCACGCTCCTTTGCATTTTATACAGGCGGATCACGCGGGTCTCCAAATATTTTATGTACGCTCGATCTTCTGTACGAGTGCAATCGATGATATCTGATTAATGTATATTTTCCCGAACAAATTATAAATTATAAATAATATTGCATAAACGCGTTTGACGTTATGTACATATTACAAAAAATTGTATAACAATCTTAGCCGAAATTAACATTGCGGATGCACACCAAGGTCCAACAAATCTCAACATTTTTTTCATGTTACTTCTGTCCTTTCTCTTCGTGTAACTATTCATGAAACTTTAACGAATAAATTTCCATTCTTTTCATTCTCAAGGAAAAAGTTGGAAAAAGTTGGAAGCAACTCTGAATGTCTCGTGGGTTTTGTTAGATCTTAATATGCATCATATCAGAAAATTTACATTTTTCAAAAGCAAATATCGTTAGTTCGAAAACCCTTCTTCAGCATATCCGCTTAAAATACTGCTATCAGCGAAATATTGTTACTATGTTCCAGCATCTAATCACGTGCGCGTTTAATATACATTAACGAATTACCTTTGGAAACAATTATCTGTGTCGCTGAAACATATTGATTATGAGGATATTATATGACGAAATTCCACGTGTGAAACACGTTATACAAAACAATGGAAATTTGCATAACCAAGAGAAATTAACACTTTATGAAATAAACAAAAACTATACATTAGTAATATTGAATTTAAAATGAATCCGAATCATTATTTTAATGAAAAATTTATTGCCTATCTAATTATATTTCACTTTTAGCTATAAAACTCTAGAGATTAAATCGGGTATGCAAGGATATCGAATACACTTTTGTGCAACGTGCTTCTCCGCGAATGTCATAAAACAACTTGATAAAACTATGATGCTTATTTACTAACGCACAATCTTTTTTATACAAAACGATAGATGTAACAGCAATGGTCTCTCATTTTCTCTTCAAGAATTCATATTTACACACGCACTTACAATGTACCGATCAAATTAGCGTGGTCCTTAATTCCTCCAATATAAATCGCACTAGATGACAATACGTTAATATAGTTAATATTCGGTACACTGATTCTGATAATATGGTCGAAGATGAAAAATGTACATATAACGACATTTGGGAAGCACGATAGATTACGGCTGTCATAATTTGCCTCGTCGATTTCATATACGCTCGGATATATCGATCATGGCTCGGCAAATTTAGACGAAAGAGGGAATAGAAAAGTTTAAACTTTAAGAAATCTTATCTTTGTTCTCGAACACATTTTCTCCTCTTTTATGTAAAAGTTCTCTTAACATTTAATATATCTTTCATACTTTCAATCTGTGCAAAATTCAAAAATCATGTAAGCCGTAATATAACACTAACTAACAATTGCCCCCGAGGATACTGCGAGAAGAATAAACAAACAATTAAGGATACGATAGATGATAACCGATCGATCAATCGAATCCTTATTGCCGACAATGATAATCGTCTTACAGAGTTGCTAGCAATTCGGATTAATCACAATCACTCAGCCATCGCTCAGACGCTCGGGAAACACCGTCAACCAATATCCTTCATTATTGGATCCCGCATCGAAAGTGTCAAATTAGCGAGAAAGCTTTACGCTGTTCGATCACAGGCAGAAGCTAATCAAAGGGCACACCGCTTCGCATGAAAGGTGAATTAGCATAGCTCTTTTGCGCGATCTTGCATCCAAACAATTCAATTTGTAATCTTTCAATAATAGCATAATTCAAGAATGAAAATTAAAATGAAATTAACTAAAATTATCTTAAATACTGGAAAAAAGAGCTGAATTTTATATCAGCGCAAAACTTGAAACAATTCGTTTTCGAATCATAACCAGGAGGAAATTAAGAAAATCTGGAAAAAAGAATACAAGAAAATATCAAGAATCATAGAAAATTGTAGTTGAGTTTTGCAAGCATAATAAATTAGAATCATTGAAATAAATAAACCACAAATTACGTAAATAGCGATCAATAATTGCAGTAGCAATTTAGATTAATAATTGCGGAATTAATAGACTTTAAAAATACTTAATAAATAGCACGACAAAGGGGAGATTAGATTGTTCGATTTAATCGCTATAAATTGTTTTGCGGCCACGAGACTCACATAACGGAAACTTTGTAAACAGTGGAGGTATCGAAATCGCTTAAGAGTTGTAAGAAGTTTCTTCTTTTAAATTGACATTTCTTGATACACCATCGGACGTGTAATCGCGTTATCTATTTTCACGTCACCTGTCATCGCTCGTAAGAAAAATGCGAATGCGATGAAACTCTTGGATCTGGTTATTGTTGATATTTTTGCGACGGCAAAAATGAATATAAATGTATATTGGATAGAAAATTCTCGCAGACGTTTTTAAGATGTAGTTTATCGTTGTTCTCACTTTTCGTTGCCGAGAGACCGAATTACGGTAGGTGGAAACGGCTTGAGCGAAATTAAGATTAAACGGAGGTGCGGCGAGAGAATAAACCGACACAGGAATTCGCTCGCGACCCTTATGGCCTCTCTAAGGACAACTAGCCAAGGTAACCGGTTACAAAACGGTACGTTTATGGAGACAGTGAAATGGCCGCCACTTGCTCTGCCCAGTCACGCGATAAGTGCTCGTGAGTCGAGCGAGCGAAAACACGAGGACGGAGAAAGGGGAAACGATGGGTTGGCTGAAACATTCCTCGTTCTGCTCCCGAACCGTTCCTTCTCGCTCAGGCCATCGTATTTCTCTCCATCTCCTCTCCTTCTTTCTCTCGCAGGTAAACCGATAGCTCAATTAGTCACGAGAACGAACTCGCTTTTCCGGCTATCTCTTTTCCCCACCTTCCGCATCGGCCGGCAGTGGTCGCGGAGAGAAATGGCCGGGCGAGTCCTTAGGTTAGGAAGGAAGGCGGAAGTCGATAAGAGGCAAAGTGGAATCGGGCAGCGGCGTGTGGAAGCGCGTAACGAAAAATGGAAAGGGACCGGCGTGATACGAGAATGGAGGAGGAGAGCGGAAGGCAAGAGAAAAAAAAGGAAGGGAGAAAGAGGAAACGGGACGAATGGGAGACGGGATGCTGGAGGATGCGCATGCGACCGGGAGAGGTTTTACCGCGAAAGTTTCTCAAGGGAGACGGTACATCCGCTCTACGAGCGAACAAACCTACCCGAATCGATAGATCGATAGATCCCGAACTAGCAGCTCGTTTCCTTCCCATTTTTTCTCTCTCTCTCTCTCTCTCTCTCTCTCTCTCTTTCCCTTACTTTTTGCTAAGTTTCGCTCGGGGGACGGTACGTCGACGAAGCCTAAAGTTATAGCTCGCGAGAGAAACACGATGCAGCAGTTCCACCTCTTTTCTGTCAGCGAATCACGACTTAACGAACGAATCGAGTTAGAGACTTGAGATGCGAAGTCACTAAAAGTCTGTTGGAAAATAAGGATATGACGCGCGCTGACAGATGTGAGAGAGGAAAATTTAAATGGAACTAATAATATCGATTGTCAGTTATATTATAGCTTATATAATACTGTCGATCTTATTGGATATAATATTTCATATCATATATAATTTAAATTCCAACTTTTCATTTTCTTTAAAAGTGGTATTCTCGATCTGTAACTCGTTTATCGGTATTTACGCATTTTGTTCTATCCAGATTGAACTCACAAAGCACGTAATCCAAAAAGCTTTCAGCAGTTTTATGACATCTTTGCCTGCGTTCTAGGCCACCCTCGGGAAAGCCATTGTCAAATACAATATGACTTTGTTTTGTCAATAATGGGTAGTAGAGATATTTTTCGAATTTGTCACAATCTCCGCAGTCCGCATATGTCGAATGCATATTGATGGAGAGAAAGAGAAAGAAAGAGAAAGAGAGAGAAAGAACGAAAGCGTGATACCAGAATCAGTAACTACATCAACGCGGATTCTTTTATTCACGGCGAAACAATTTTTATCAGATACATAACCGCGACGAGTACGTTATTTCGCGCGCAACAATACGCGTGCACGCATGTGTGCGTGCGCGTGCGGCAGAAAAAAAGCCGCGATTAATCCCCGATGCAAGAAGTAAGCGGTGCATGGAGATCCCATGCGTGCTCCGATCTGTTTGTTCAGCTTGGATTTTTATCCGGCCAATAGCGGTGCCTTCACCGAATAACGCGCGCCCATCGTTTGTACGCGCCATTCCGTCAACACGTGAAATTCAACCGCGTCCACAATTGTGAATTTCACTGAGGCTACACCTATATACCTTGGTCACATACATGCATCCCGAATATTACATTTTTACATCGCGCACAAATACCGCAGGCTATTTTTTACCTGAGAGTCGTACAGGATGATTCAATATTCGTGAATGCGAGACTCCGCGACCGAATTGCACAAATCCTTTTTTCCTCAAAAATCCCGGAAGCACTGATTGTTTCTGAATTCCAAACAGCGAAAAAATAAAAATGTAACTCTGATGAAGTATCTCTCTCACAAAGGGGTCACATTATTTATGATATTTATAAATATTACGATTTGTAATTAAAGCGCAGATAAAAGTCCAAACGAGGAGGCAGATGAAACGTAGGACGAGAAAATACTTTTCTTAAACGGTCTATTCAATCTTTCGATTCTTTTGTTTGACAAAAAAAACGAAGTCAAGAAGATCTGCGGATAGTTTAGATAGGAGCCGCGATACAAATAAACTACTACCCGCAGCTATAGAAACCCAGAACTTCGACCCTTCCTGATCCCTTTATCTTTTAATTACGCGGATTTCGCTAGCCGCTAAATTTTCCGCGTCTGGCTTAAACCCAATTTTCTCAACATTCTCTCTTGCGTGCGCGATTCAATATGGAGAACAATTACTTGTTTGATAGAGTAGCTCCACGTAAGAATTTCCTACGTATAAAACGCAACACTTTTCTGTTATCCTATAAAACGATCAGATAAAGCGATATTTTATGCGAGACATAAATACATATATTATTCGAAAAAAATCTGGGATCTTACGTTTGGAAATTTAATAAATTTTAAGAGAAAACACTTAGACGCACAACTGACAATCATCGTTTCGTCAATATCGTTATTTTCACGAAAGAAATAGCATCTTGAGGAAGGAATCCGAGACGAGGATAAATAAGAGAAACGTAGAAAATCTCTAGAGAGTCGAAACGTTCTCCACGTCTATGCGATCGATATATCCGAAGGGCTTCTTCGGGACCGTGGGATATACATAGCGATTTCCCGTCTTCGAAAGGAGGGTGCGGTGAGTCCACCTGGATACCGTGATCGTTATCGACGCATCTGAATGCAAAGTCCCGTCGCGAAAGAGATGTGTATGTATGTGTTCGTATTTCTCCCGGTCCGAATCCTTTCGCGCCACCGTGTATACGCCCGGCAAGCGAATTGAAAGTGCTGAAAGGCGAATTGCCAATTGCTTTGTCGCTTCCACCCGGGGCTTACTACGGCACCAAATTGGAAATACCGTAGCAGTTCTCGAACAGTCTGCGCCGTGAAACAAGACTATAAGATTCACTTTAAACGGTATATACATACGTACATATACAGGTCGCGTATGCTATATACAGAGGCACAGAATTTGCCTCGAGAGGGTAGATATGCGTTAACCTGTCAAAAATTTCATCAATCTTTCGAGACCCAAACTTCGAATACAGTTCTTATATTTTCGTTGCGAAAAATTGTCCAATAATATTAAAAAGAAATTATCAAAAAGAAGGCAGAATTTTTTTTCCAAACTCTTTGCACACAAGAGAACTTTCTTACAATTTAGCGGAAACCGTTTCTCCCTCGCGTGTAAAATTATTTATCCCTGTGGATCGTATACTTTTCTCGTGTTCGACGGATATATTCAAAGTGGAACAGAGAGGGGGAAATTAATTTTTTCAAATTGTCAACTCGTACCTACCCACTTAACCGTTCAATAATCAATCATTTGGTTTATCGATGAATTATGTTACGAGCGCGACGCTCATTTAAAGCGTTCGCGCCGGCCGTAGCGCGAGACGTGTCAATGGGAAGGGGGTTAGTCACGCATATGGCACGTTTGCGTTAAACCATGCATTAAATCTACGTGAAATCGCAAAAATTTGCATTCTCGCCTCGAATCGAAAAATACGTGTACGTAAAATATGTATGAGATGCGAGGCCGCACGCAACTCGCAGTCGTCACGCCGCGACAAACAAAAACATCCCGCGCAAACGTGCGACGTGTTTATATATGCGCGGGATGACATATGTGCATCTCGTTTCGCGCCTCGACCCGGATGGGCGACGGAGGGTCGCATACTTACGCACGGCGCATGCACGCAACAGGCGCGATGATCAACAAACCGTGACGATGGAGAGCGTGGTGGTCGTCTTTGGCGAGGCGTAGGCGTGAATCGACTGCGAGTATCTCGATTGTCAAATGCGCAGGGGATCCGTGTGCGAATTCGTGGGCTTGTGCCGCGCCGCGCAGAAGCTCAGGCCGAAGCACAGCATCAGCAACGCCACTGAGCCGACCAGCAAGTAGCTCGACCAGGACACCGAGCACTTTCCTGAAACAGATGGCATCCGTCTGTCATCGACTCGGCGAGTATTCTGCGGCGTCATCACCCCCGGGAATTCCCGGCGAATAGCTCAGCAACCTAATCGTCGTGCCGAGAGGGTGAATCTGATCGCCGTAATGGCTTAATCAGTGGCTCGCGGAGTAAATTAATAAACCGACGTAAACGGATTTTACCCCACGAAATAGGTGTTGCTCCGTATGGAAAAAGTAAACTGTCAAGGTTTTTTCGTCGATTTTTCAAAGTTACAATTAGATTAAGAATTATTTCTTTTTAATCATTATAATAAAATATACGGTTGAGAAAAGAGATATTGCTACGATATATCTTAATTGCTCATTTTTTCTTAATAATGTATTTTTTTTAATATTATTTTTTCGCACTTAATGTTATTTCTTTTTCACTTTATAAATAACTGATTTCGCGATAGCGATAAGAAAAGAAAAATGTTATTTGATTTAAACAAAATAATATTATTGACGTTGGCGCAAATTAATATCGATATTTTCAATTCAGCATTAAAATAATAGAAATGTTAATTACGAATGTAATGCCTGGAAATATATAATTCTCGTCGAGTCAGTTAGCTTTGAATAATTTCAACTATGAGAACCTTTGTACTTCTATTAAAGTTTACAAATAAATCCAATTTAACTCACAGGATATATCGTTTAACAGACGGAACGTGCTATCGAAATATATACATCCCGTCATCGCTTTGACGTCTGACCCACCATCGGTCTATTCCCATATTCACCTGGGGACGCTTGTCACCTGTGCGTCGAATATACAGAGCATATGGACTACATTCTCTCGGTCAGATAACTCTACAAAATCTTGTCGATAAAAAAATGAATACGTTAAATGTCCCGGAGTTTTTTTGGAATTAATTTCGCATCGATATAGTTTTTTTTTTGTTTTTGTTTTCAAATATATAATCACCCTTCTGCAATTCTATTTATAAAATATCGAAGCGTCGATAGAATTTTTGAATCGCCAGAGAAAAATTAAAAATTTTTTTAATACGAGAATTTTCTCTCTTATACAAGGCAGCGCACGCCTGAATATAAACAAATATTTTCCCTAGTTATATATCGCGTGGCAAATCTATCGGATGCAAATTTAGTATCAGGGATGATCCTGCGGAATACAACAACGTACGCATTCGCAGTCACGCCGGCAAATCCGCGGCAAATCAATAACAATCCCCCGGGTATTGAAAGGCAAATCACCACCGGATCGTCTATGTCGAATCAGATCGTTACGGGCATGCTGGAAAATTACGGGAAAATCAGAGGAATTACACTCGAGATCGGCGTGACGTGGATTGCGCGGCCCCGCAAACTTACAAGAGCCATAAGTCTCGACCGGTTTACGTAAAGTCTCGGAATGGCTGTAGGTCGTTGAGTGCTCCGTAAAACGCTCCGGGAATTCGCCTGCGAAAATGCGGAAACTTCCACCACCGATACCAGTCCGTCGTCGTTGTCGTCGTCGTAGTGTAACGTCTTAAGAGTAATCACGTACAGACACACGTCCGCGGATTTCTGCTGCGCCACATCGAAACGGCAATTTCTCCTTGAAGACGTCGTTAAACTAGGAAACGAGCAACTAAAGCGTAACTCCTGCCCCTCCTTCCGTTCGCGCACGAGTTCCTCGAGCGTTAATTAGTTATCGAATTAGATCGATAACTCGCGCCGCATTCCGCCGGAATTAAGTTCCGGACTGCCATTCTACGCTCACCGTATCGCTACGCGGAATACGAGTACCGAATACGGACCAAGAGTACTCACCGAGATTGTAAACATTGGCCCCCTTTCCGCAGGATTCGCGTACCTCCCGATTATCCCAGCCGATCGGATACATGATCAGACCGCCGCATATCATCGCTGCTGTAACAAAGAGATAAAAATAGTCAATGAATTATAAATTATACGACGGAGAATTTATAATCCACCTTAAACGAGAGGAGCGTATTTATAGCTTTCTATTTATCCATTTTTCCGTTAAAATACTCTTTGCAGTTTTCTCTCGACAGTATTATGTATTAATTATATCAAAATGATAAACACACACATGTTCAAATTGCAAAATTGCGAGTCACACATTTACTTGAAAGACAGAAATATTTTAAAAGGAAGAAATAATAGCGAATTTTGCGACTTCAACGTTATGTCATACGTTTTTCTCTCGAGAAATCAGTATTACGAGATCCCCAACGTCATCCCGCATCGATCATGTCGTACAGAGCCTGCGGGCGATTCTGTCATTTTTCGAAAGCGACCCTCGAACGCAGGTAGAAGCAAATCGAGAACAACGAACTAACTTGAAGCGCGTAAATGGAATACGTCAATGCGCTGGAAGAAGGATGACGTTACCATGATATCTATTTTATTCAGGGACAGTTCATTATTTCGTCGCGAGATGTGAATTTCTCGCCGGTCCATTACCTTCACCTCGCATCAATTTGATGTCACCAGACAAACTGTTATTTTTAAAGGTGCATTATCTTTTCTTTTATATTCGAACTATAAAAGGAATTTAAAAAGTCTACATTTTATACAATTCAACGATACATATTTTCCTTTTTCGCATAATATGATCATGATACGTTGTTAACGGCTCATTATATCACGTTATGAATGAAATTAATTTCGAATGAAATTATTCAATTGAATTACAAGGCGCGTATGTGACACTCACCAGCGAGCAATTGCAAGGAACCAAGAACTCTTGTGTGTTTCGGCGTTTTTAGAATGTGTGGGAGGAATGATGAGGCCGCTGCAAAAAGCGTCAAAGCACCAATCACTGCGATCGCGACGCCGATTCCCATCATGACTGTACTCGCCTGCCACCAGGCACTCGGTATATCCCAAAAGCTGTAATGTAACATCAATCACGATAATAAATTTCTGAAATCACTAGCCGTTTGTTAACGTATTCATATTTTATTTATTTCAAAAATGATCTAATTTTATTAATCGAGAAAATTGTAAGATTTGTAAGTAATTTTTGCACCTAAAATATATTTCCGCGTGTAATATTAAATTATAATTAAAAGGAACAAGAGGAAACGTCAAATTGGACAAGCTTTTGCATGAAAATGTTTTATTAACATAATGGAACAATCCGAATAAAGCTCTAATCGACGTATTTATCGTAAGCTGGAATAAGCTTTATTCATTATATTATTTACGTACTCATAGTTGTTCTACATTAATTAATATAACAACGTGTACGGCTTATATGACAAAATTAGCGCGGATTTATCGAGCCAATGTTTCAAGCAAAATGAAAAAGCAAATATATTTTATTCTAATTACATCCCGATGTAATAATATTACGAGAACTTACTCAAACGTGAAATTATATTGTATTTTGATGTATGTAATGAGTTAAAATTTTCATGGCGAAATTAAACAAAGTTAAGCTAAATTATATTATTACTTTGTAATTTTGAATAAATGCGATGATTACTAATTAATTGTATTTTATAAATTGGAATATTAAAGCGATTTTCCAATCTAAATTTTTCTGTCAGAAGCTCGACTCAAATTTTTTAAATATAGAAAATATTTTGCTACAACGAGATTTATTGTTACAACAAACAATCAGTATCACATAACAATTAGAATGCAATAATGTAAACTTTATGTTATTATTATAGTAATTCGAAGAATGAAAGTTGAATATTCCAACTAAAAAAATTAGAGAGATTGTCAATATCGAAAAAATGCACATAAATATGCAGTATATTTTTCGTTTTACGCAAATATTTTTCGCGGGAGATATCGTGGCGTAAAATATCGTATTATCTGTTTTTAGCTTCCCAAAGTTTTGACCCGTTAAACTGACCAAATGCAATATTTTTTTCAGCGCGCATTCTGACGTAAAATATCGTATCGTTCGCTCTTTTGTTTCGAAAAAATGGAATATTAATCGTAGCCCCAATGCTCTGTCTATATAGCTATAAATATTCTACCTATTACTCTCGTAGAGATTTTCTTGATTATTCCTGTTAATTATATTAACTCTGTTAATTAATTATAAACCTAATTTTAATTAGCTAATTTGATTTTGATGCTTTGCGTCAGTAATTTTGAATTGTTCTAATTATTTCATGTATTTCAATCTTGTTAAGTAATAATAGATAATATCTAACAATGTAATAATATGAATGTTATCTTTTTACAATTTGTTTTTACAAATTATTTTTCCCGTAAAATTTAGAATAAAACAATTGCATAAATTTTCGAATTATCGTAATTCCATGTTGAGAGATAACGAGTCTATCACAGAAACTGATGAAATTATCAAATCAATTCCGGCAGAGACCAAAGTTGCATTAGCACTTATACCTATTATATTGGTATCAGAAGAGAGAAATCATAGAGGCGGATTTTATTTGATAATAATTTGATGATATTTATAACAAATATAATTTCAATTAGTATCTAGATTGCGATACTATTGACACATATAAAGTGCATTGAAAAACATATTTCTTCATATCAAAAAAAAGGAGAAATATATTTCTTTATATCAAAAAAAGGAGAAACGATCAAATTCTTCAAAGAAGATTTATTATCAAAATTAAGAATAGACATTGTGGAAAGCTTACCGACATTTTCCTGGAAAAATAAACACAAAATTATGCTAGATTATATATTGCTAGAATACATACCGCGCGTCTCGCTATATTCAATTGACTCTCTATTGAATCAAATCTGGCAGAGTAAGTAAAACTTTGCTCGGATGGGGAGTACATCGTCATCGCGATGAAAAAGAAAGAGGAATGAGGAGCTTCGCCAGAGATGGTACTGACACCGACGAAGTCGACCTACATACGAATTTGCGAAAATTAAATCAGAGATTGCATACGCGAGATATACATTTTTATCGCTTTTCCGCAGCGCACTAGTGAGATCTCGTGTGCAAAAAATATACCTGGAATTAAATTTGCGGGTGGCTCATTGTTAGCGCTTGCCTCCCCGTGTCGTATTCTCGATGAGAGGAATATGTTTTATAACAATACCTTTCATAGATAGAAATATACGCAAATAAAGCAATGTATGTCATAATTTTAATCCTTAGCTTATTTTATAATTTTTTGAAAGATTTAAATATGATGTATTAACGTCGGAAAACATTTTTATTACATTCTCTTTAATTGTTTTCAATGTATTTGTTTTAAAAATAATTTTAAAACAAAGTGTATTTAAAAAAAAAAAACAGATAAAGTTTCTATTCGTCCATTGACGAGTGCTTTGAAAAATATGCAATACTAGTACACGCGTTAACTTTATTTTCTATGCTTTCCATCATTGTACACGTGCTGTCATGAAGTAGGTTGTCGGAACAATTTCCATACAATTCTCCGTTGCCAACGTCATCAATGTATATTGCTGAACCGACTCACGTTGTCTATTATAATTCATATAATATGAAAATTTCAATTCTCTCAAGGGTTTGTGAAAAATGATTAAATGAAGGGAAGTGTATTATCGATTCAAGTTAAATCAAACTCGACATAAATTATTCTCACGATCACGTACGGTGCAAATCGTCAGTCGAATGCACAGCGTTCGATAAAAAAAAAAATAGGACGAAACTTCTATAATTTATCGCGGGTCGTTGCATCACTTTTGCCGCGTAAAATATGACGCGTATTTTCGACCGCGTCTATCCAAATCCTCTTCTGCAAACGGGCGTTAGTCGATAACGGGCGATAATACGAATGCGCGGAATAGTTCAATTCTTGTTTTTAACGCTTTCGCTGATCCTACGAAGCGAATGCGGGGATTTGGTATGCATCGTTTAACTGCCGCGATCGGATGGAACGGTACTCGAAAAACACATGACTCATGGATACCTTAATACATCGCATTCCCAAAGCGCAATCCAATTCTATTAATCTTGCGCGCTTACACACCGTTACTGCGATAATTGTTATTCCCGTTATTATCATTATCGGTGCCATAACAGGAATAGAGTACAATCCAACCTCTGTATATTCTCTGATTAATTTACTGTATTAATATTAACACCGCTATAATTACTATTAATATTAGGAGAATTTGTTTTAATGTATACTAAATGCAGGTTACATGTAACCTGCATATATTTTTTGTTAAAATGTAATTCAGAATATCATAGTTTATTATTTCTTTTTAGAGGAAAGAGATATAGCTGTTGAAAATATGCATAGATGATCAAATGACTAACATTTAATTCAATTATTCGTACGCATTCAAAAGTTAAAATAAATGGATCTCGAATTAATCCCTGTATTAACAACTGAGAGAGTCTCTTTTATTTGAGTAAAGCAATCAAAGAGGCATTATTTTGACTGAATTTATAATATTTCATGTAATTTCTCGCTTCACGTACAAATAAGAAAGAATCGCGCCATTTCTCTTTCTACTTTTTATAATTTTTTTTGTTAATAACGGTGTTCTGTATAGTTTTAATGCTGCAAGTCAACCACGATTTTTACGATCGTTCATAAAGAAAGTTTTTACGCTCCGTTTCCCGAACGAGTAGCGCGGAATTATTCTGGTCGCGCGACGCGAATTATACAAGTCACTTGAGCTCGGTTGAAATTATTCGGATTCACTTCTCGAACTCAAATTAACCCGTTGTCGAATTTTAAATATTCATCCTCGCGCTTGAAACACGAGTATGTATAAAATTACTCTCTTTATTACGCATAGAAAAAAATGTATAATTAAGATGCCTTATATATAATAATTCGCAATAAAATCCCATTTCTGACAAGTTATTAATTCTCAATTATATTCTCGGTTGGACTATATTATAATAATCATTTATTAATACAGAAATATATATCTTACTAGTACTTATATATGTCTTATCGATTTAATATTATTTTGAAATATATTTGATTTATTTGTTTCATATTCTTTTACATATCTTTTAATTTTTTTATTTTTTCTAAACTTTATTCCGTATCGCTTATACTTTTTTTTAAATTATAACCTCATGAAATAATTAAAATTATCATATTCAATTAATAATTTGAAAGAAATTAAACGAACAAACGATAAATTGAACGAACAAATTTGCAGTAGATCTTTCACGTCTCGCATAATCTAACAATAAGGAGACACTTGACGCGCAAACTTTGCTCTTTTCGCACTTAGGAATCGCAGATGAAGAGGAATCTATATTCATAGTGCTTTGAGAGATATGAGAATATATTAATGGAAAAATACGTACCTGGAATATCTCGCGCATTCGTAAACTATCTCGGGCGTGGTGTTAGGGGGCCTAATTCGCGGATAGTTGCAACGTCGAAAGGAACTGAAGTACGCATCTGCCTTTCCCAGTAGTCGTCCCTAAAATACACAAGATCGCCAAAATGACGATTATGTTACTGTGTAAGATTTTATAATAAGATTTTATAAAATCGAAAAACTTAGCTAATTATGGACTTGATAAGATTTAGAAGAGGCGTACTTAAAATTATATATATATATTAATTATATTATATATATTATACATATATAATATTAATAAAAAAAATTTAATGAAACTCGTAAACATGACAAGAAATTTTGCAATTTCATTTTATATTTTTTTAACGTAATTTTTTGCATCGCACATTATCAAATAAAAAATAATAATAATAAATGAAAAGTGTAAATAAATATAAAATAGATATTATATATGTTAACGTTATTTAAATATTGCTAATTTCTGACACAGAAATTCTTGCATCGATTAAGTGCATTAACATCTAGAGCAAAATACTTAGGCACTCTATGTATTTTATACGTGAAATTCTCTCTCTTTCTCTCTCTCTTTCTCTCTCTCTCCGTATTACAGTACAGAGTGTATTGAGAAAAATTTTCTCCTCTTTCTAACAAATTTTGCAAGCGGCGCCAAAGAAACGGGAAATGTCTCGCCGCCTTGTTTGAATGCTTTTGATTGCTTCTCTTAATACGGAAAAAATATAACGCAACCGTCTATCGGAAAAGGAAGAAGAGGAAGGAGGTCGTAATAAGCTCGCTTGTCGTTTACCAAATGCCGTTTTCTTTCAGAGAGCTCGTTCTTTTCGCATTTATTTTCATTAACAAACCGTAATAAAAGTCCCCAAGTTAAATTGCACGATTTTGCAAACAAGCTCTTTTGTAAAATATTTCAATATTTCATATCCTAAATAAATATAAAATATCGAAAAGCTATATTTAATAACTAACATTACAAAAGAATGTTAGTCATTTTTTATTATTCTTTTTTTATTTTTACAGTTTTTTTATTATTCTATCGATATTGAACTCGATTTTCCAAAGTAATAATAAAAAAAGATTAAATAAAAAATAAATTAATATTTAAACAAGCTTCCGAAAATGATTATATTATATTTGTATAAAATACATAAAAAAATTATTTACAAATATTTGATCTATGTCATAAAATGTTAAAGAAACTTGTATGCATTTTTTACAAAATTAACAAAATTTAGAAGAGATAATAAATATTAACAATGAAAATTGTATGACTAAAGAAAATAATTGGTTTTAAACGTTTTCGATGAAGAGATTTTTTTGTAAATTCCTCTTTATAAAAATAAATTCTTTCAATGACTCTATAATGCAAACTTACATTACATGTAACATTACATTATCAATTTTAAACAGTATAAATAAATTCTTAAAAAGAAATGGAATATTTACAATCAATAATATAAGATTTTAGAAAAAAGAAAATTGTGTGTAAATATATTAATGTGCAGAAATATTAATTTTTGCCATTTTCCGCATACCTACATCTTATAAAAAAATTTGTAACAAAATTATACAAATCAGTTGCCTGGGAGATGCAAAATAAATTTATGAAATAAAGAAAGCCGGAGATCCATAATCATATAATTGATAGATAGAATTTTACTTTCAAGAGCCTTTTTCATTTCGTGCGATGCGGAGAATATGAACAATTTGGTTCTTCATTGGAAATTCCATCTGAATAAGACTTCGTTTGTAAACTGTATTTTGTATCTGCAACAACATTGAGCAAACCAGGATCAAGTAAAGGCAAGTAGTCGCGCGAAGTGCAAAGTTATCCTACCCAACGGTATTCGTCCCATCAACTTCTCTCTCGACCAAGTTGCCGGTGCCCGAAGCGTTCTTGTCTCGTTCGAGAATCTTGTACGCGTAACGAACGTCTCGGTAAGTTTCAAGGACCGAAATTTTGCCTCGCATCACGGCCAGAACATTGTTACACTTGTTGACAATGCTTGCTACGCGATTACATCTCAAAATCATTCTATTATCCGAATTACACTGTACATATTGCAAAATAAACTATATCATTTCGGCATGCAATCATAATTGTCACAACTGTCATAATTATACTTTGTACAAAAGTACATTTCTTAATCCCAGTTTCATACTTTATTAACATTCACAATCTTTTACATTAATAAAAACAAATGTATAAATAGATTCGAATATTTCTTCATCATATTTCTTAGATCCGAGAGATATTTTGTACCAAGGTACACTTTTAATCCCAATTTCATACTTATTGACATTGCATAATCTGGTTTTACATTAATAAAAAATGTGTAAACAGATTTCAATCTTTCCTCATATTTGTTTTAGCGCTGAAGGATATTTTTTACATATCTTTCGTCATAATTTTTCTATGCTTCTTAACTTTTTACGCCGGTTAAGTCACAACACGGAATAAAGCGTATTAAGACGCGTATATCGTAGAATTAATGTTTCAGTTTTCGTTGTTTCGTTTGCCGTTTAGAACGAAGAATCCGATTACTATCGCCGTTCCGCGATCCATCTTGTCAGACGACTCGAGCTTGTTCGATTTCTCACGTTTTCTTTGCCGTTCTCCTTCTCTTATTTCTCTAGCTTCTCTGCTTTTCTTATTTCCCCCCCCCCCCAAGTTGTTCTTTTCTCATTCTTTTCTACGCTTTCCCGTGTCTCGCTTCTTTGTCGCAGATACCGGTATCTCATTTTACATCTCGCGCACACGAACGAAACGATGTGAAAATGAAAAGTAAATAGTACGCGCGAGATAATGTCGTATCCTCTCGAATAACATTGCAGTCTTAATATTAAAGCTCAGGTGCAGAAGCGCTTTAAAGCAAAAATCCGTTAATCCGTATTTTAATGGAAGTACACGCTCTATCTCCGGCCTTCAACTAATTTATTGAAATACATCGATACACGTGTAATCGGATTACACTTAATTACGCGGCAGAAATCAAGAATTAATGGATATTGTCGAGTATGGTAGCCGTTGCGCATCGCTCTCAACATTCTGCGCAAAACTCGACCTCGACGAGTCTTGAAATTCGAGTTTACGAGTTTTAGCCATTCGATTTCCCGATGAATGAATCCCCGGAGTGATAAATGGACCGTCGGTCGAATACACGAATGCTACGAAGTGTGCGGACCGAAATAACGTAAAAAAAATATATATATATATAAACTCTATCTTCTCGTAAACTAGACCTTAACATCAAGATGGAATCGTTCGTTATTCAATAAACTTAACTGTCTTATTGCAATCGTGAAACGCGGCGTGTCGTAAGCTCACGAGAATCTCGATACTGATGTTTTACTGGCCGCGCATGCAAATTTCTCCGGTTTTATCGCGATGCCTTAAATTGCTTTACGATCGTGCCGAAGAAATTGTCGGAGTCATCAAAATCCGTCGATACAAAACCCGTCGACGACTCCCCGGAGAGGAAAAACGATTTTCCTCGCGTGTTCGCATATAAGTCGTTGTCGTGTACGTACACGAATAAAAGTCCTGAAGATGCGCGAACTATGATCGTACAAAATCCGGAATGATCCTTCGGCGAAGTTGCACGAACGCGAAAACGACGTCGTACGGTTGTACGATGGAACGAGGAAGTGTCGCCGCGGCGAAGTTCCACTCGATAAGTATAATTTTCAAAGTTGCCAGTTATCGCCTAAAAAGTTATCGGTTATTTTGTAGCTGTTATTCGCTAGTCGCGTGAAAATCGCGCGCCGGGAATCGTCAATATGTGTATCGTCGCGGGGGGAGGAAGCTAACCCGTTTATAACCGATAATAATGCTATTCTATTCGTGTTATTTGATTCGATAGTATATCGTGTTCGTATTTATCGACATGGCTGCTTTATCGCGCCATTAATATCGCACGTTAATGACCATCAAACATCGAAGCGCCACACGGTGCGATAGAGAGATATTGATTGAATTATAAGGGGGAATATATATTTATAACGCCAGTTTAATATATCTAAGGACGGGAGAGAGAAAAGCGAGAAAAATTCATTAATTATCATTATCATTAATTATCTACGGCCGCTTCGAAACTTTCTCAAATTCCTTTGAGATTATCCAACTTTACTCCAATCTTCAAAAAATTACTCCATGGCGCTAAAAAGTTCAAGAACACTCTCGCATAGTTTTGGCCTTTTGTTCGTAAAGTGGCATAATATAATTAAGAGCAGACTCATCGCTTACCTGAATCCAGTAAGGCATGTAAAAACCGGCGCACGCCAGAAACGAGGCTACGGTGGACAGAGTAGCCCACAGCACGCACAGCACTGTCATCTCATCGGTTTAAAAGCGTCCGCCTCTCTCCCTCACGCACCGCTGTTCATCCTCCATTCGTGGATAATTATCAAGGTCTCCGAAAGTGGCGCCGGGGATCTCGATTACATACTCTCGTCCGCGAAGAGCGTCCTTCCGACCAATCCAACGTCGACAGCCGTTTTCGACAACGTTGACCCGTCGTCTCTGTCGCTTTTAAATCGCCCTCTCTTTATGTCATGCCTGGCAAAAGGCACCAATCGATCGTGCAAGTGACATTTATTAGGGTATTGATGGTCTTGTCGCGGCTCGCTTGATGCTCGCTAGAGGGGGAGAGGGAGAGCGATCAGGGTCGATCGATCTCTTAATCGTGGATCAGGTCATACCCGCGTTCTCTTTTCGAGCATGAATGCTTCAATCATCGTCCCCGATCTGCGTCGTCGTTTTCCCGCTGGTGAAAATCTTCGACTCGTCGTGGTTAATTCGATCTCTACGAGATTATCCCGCTCGTAAAACGTGACCGAGAGTATCGCTTCTTCGAATGAGTCACGCAGTTAATTCCGATTCCCGTTCCGTAATATGCTTCGCACCTCGGAAATTGATATTGAACGACGATGAAACGAGGGCAGGATCCCCCGAGTTACCACGTATTTATGTGCGTGGAAACTAATAAGAAAGTTATACTTCCAGACGATCACCGGCTACATGAAGTTTCACGACCGATCTGCTCCATTTTGACACCGTAATGTTGCCAACAAGATTCAAGAAGTTCATTATTCAGCCAAAACTTGCTAACGTTGTTCCTCAATGATCTCGATGTATATATTCTAGACTGTCTCATCACTTCGTATCGATCTAGTTCGCCGATCGAAACGCGGCGCTTGTTGAAACACGTCCGGCGATAAACGTCCGCAATTCGTCGATCACATCCTTCACTTTTTCACTCTCTGCGTCTCGCTGCTATTTCATCAAGAGATATTTTCATCGAGACTTAATTTCTTGCAGCGATGGTACCGCGTTCCGTTGCCAGACGCGCTCTTCGTTAATTATAGATCACCACACCACGGTTCACCACCCACGTTGCGTGCCCGATAAGTACCATTCGTTTCGGAGCACACGCACTTTAACGTCCACGACGCGGGAGATGTCGAAGAACGCACACGCAGTGTTTGACGATGAAAATTTCTCACGATCGAAATTTCATTTCAATCCGATTTAGGTAATCCTTCTGAATGAAACGGGGACGAGACGACCGACGACGAGGAGAAATGTAACGTGCGCGAATGTCCGACGTCGTCTCGTCGTTCTCGTCGTCGTCGTCGTCGTCGCGCACGGCGCTGCTTCGTGGCTGCGACTGAACGGTTCCGTTCTCCACATTCAGCGCGTTCCTCCTCTCTCTCTCTTCTTCTCCTGCCCACCCGCGCCGCGTCGCGACCGCACTGCGTGGGAGAACGAAGAGCGCCGCGACGCAGCATCCCGCCTCTCGGACATCTGGCGGGCGCACGGCTGACGGTGTACACGCGTGTACATTGCGGAGACGTGTGCGTGCGCAATGTAACACGTGTACGAATCACATTGTCGACGTACACGTTTGTTAATGGAGATCAAATAATCGCCCCGTCCTTGTCTCCAAGTTTCCGGCGCGATGAATACGCGATGTGGCGAACCGCGAAGAAGCAAAAATGATGATTACGGGACATTGTCCCGTGCTGGTCTATTTTTTGCTGGTTATTACGCGATGACAAAGTTCATTGTTATCCCGCTGCTATTTGAGCATTAATCATGCTTATCTGTTTTTTTTTGTTTTTTTTGTTTTTTCGACGCGTACAGAGCGACATGTCAATCGATAGACTGACGGACTTTAGGGTCCCCGGTGTATCAATTTAGGGATGAAGAGCTCGACGCTTCAGTTGTTAAGCACTCAGCCAAAATAACTGAGGGTTTATACCTACATATACTCATTAAGAGGGTTGCAAAATTCAAGGCAAGATGATAAAAATATTGTATTGAGATCGAAAACTTAAATTTGATCTTGGTCTTGGCTGATTCTTTGTAACAAATATCTCGTATTGTCGTGTCTCCGTTTTATTAACAATTTTTATCCAATCCGAACAACTTAAAATAATATTTAACATAATCTATATAGCAATTATTACTCGTTTATGTATTTCTCAAAGCATAATATATTTATTTATTTATATTTATATCTATGTACGAAAAGGTAATTGTATATAGCCAAAATGCAAACGCGATTCACATATATACATTCAGAGAACTGCGTACGCAAAGTTTTGTATTATTAAATAATTATGTGAAACTTTATATTGTTTATTGTATTAAAATTTTAAATTTGATAATAGAAATGTTTCCATTAAATTAAATGAAATAAAATTTTGTAAATTCGCATATAATGATTTTTGTCTCGAATTTCGAAACAAAATAATATCAAGTCTCGTGTAACCTTATTTTAATGTATCGCGATAGATACAGTCGCGGATTTATACAAAAAAGCCTTTCGACGTTTATATTTTAACATTTATTATACATACGATATGTTATAACTTATTATTAAGCGTTGTTAAAGATTACAAGCGGTTTTAATAGTCCAGAAAATAAACAAATGAGAAACAGTAAAATAACTTTGGTAACCAAACTCTTGGCTCAAATCCAAAAATAATAAAGAATGATTTTGTTTCCAAACAATAAAAAGCAGAAATTTTTATTATAAAAATCTTCTACATTTAAAATACTGAAGCTTATAATTATCAATGAATATATGTAAGCCCCAATTCCATGTATATCGATTTCAGATATTAATGCTGCGTTGCACCTTCCTGACATAAAGCTCCCAAAATTGAAATTGAAAATAGTTAACTAATTAAAAACTATTATTAGACTATTAGAATATTGAAAATTAGAGAATCTCGTGAGTTCAATAATAAAAATTATTATTTGAAAAGGACGCATCTTCAACATTTCGCAAAAAGTTAATAATTTTTCCTTGGCATTAAATTTTGTTATTAATTATATGTTTTTTTTAATTTATACATATACATTCATTACTTATTTATATCTCTTTAGCTTATATACTATATATACAGATCACTTGATGTTGATGAATCTGCCAGCATATTGTTCCGATTAGTTCTGCTCTACGTCCATCGTGGTATCTCGTTAACATTTCCATCATCTATCATAGAGACATAGAGATCCTCTCGTCCATTCTCCCCGCTATCGACGGACTTGAGTGTCCCTTTTGGCACCGTTATCAGTCGCATTAGGAAAATGAACGCTGTTTTTTTTTCTTTTTTTTTTACGAACATCACGTGACAGATATAAAGAGACACAATGCCTGAAGAAATAAGGATAAGAACGAGACCGGAAAATGTGGCAGGAAAAAAAGAGCAGACTGACAACTTGGAGCAGAAATGGCGACGATGTAACGTTTCATTTCGCGTGGAACAGTATAAAACTTTCTATTCTGCCGAGAGAAAGAGTGTAACCAGGACTCGTTTACGCACGTGTACGTATACAAATTGAGGCGACCCGAACAGCACAAGCAGAGAGAGCAAAGTACGTAGACGATTTCGGAATAAAATCTCATTTCGGTGTAAATATCATCGAGTTTTACCGTTATGCAACGCGCGAGATATCTCGTTTCTACGCAAGCATACCTTTTTTTATTATATTATACACATACATTTTTATATTATCGATCGCAACATCGCGACAATAATTCTAATTATACGCGGAGAGATGTTATTGATATTGTGACATTATTCAGAGATCAAATAATATTTTCTATATATTTTTCTAAACGTTCAACGAACATTCGCCGTCAAGCGTTTTCAAGAAAATCAACTGAAAGGAAGATCCGAGATGAAATGCAGCGAAACTTTTGAAAACGGAGAGCAAACTCTTTGCCTACGATATCATCGCGGTGGACCCGGCTCTCCTTGCGCCGTCGAACGAGAAAAGCGCTATCCCCTCGAACAGATTATGAGTCTCGGATTTATTTTTACGGCCGGCCAGATCCCAGCGTCATGGACGTCGAGGCAAACTGATACCGCTCTCCCTTGATTCGATAGCGGTGCTCCGAATCACGACACCGTGAAAGCTATGGCGGCTCCTTTCTGTAGGAAGCAACGCGAGCGAAAATAATCATCGTGGAACGGCGTCCAACAGAGGGAATCAGCCGGAGATTAGATCCACCCTTTCATAGGGAATGGCATTATAACGCGAGAGCAACCGTATGTACGAATCGGTTTTAATACGCTCTCGCGTTTATCGCAAACCGCACGCACGGGCGGATCGTGCGTAGGAAATTAAGATACAGAGACGCGCATGGGAGATCTCTCATTTCTCTATCTCGCTCTTATCTTCTATCTATTTGCTCGGATAATGAGCTCTTCCAGTCGCTGTATAACCGTCGGCGCGACGTTTAACCTTGTGCCAACTGTAGGGACGTTCGTGCAGAAGATGCGCGTAGAATAGCGAACCGTTATTTCCCGCGATCCCGGGCAAATTACGTATCGCGCTAGGATCAAAAGACGGGCGGCACTTGAAAAAGATGATTTATCGGATAGCGGCGCCGCGCTTCCGGCTGTTATTCCGGTACGATGCGTCAAACGAAGCGCCCCGGGCGCAAATCTTTATCTCTCTTTATCTCTCTCATCTTGCGATAAGATAGATTTTACAAAAGATCGCAAGCTTGGGATTTTCCCGATCTCCTTTCGACTCGCGCGCGACTACTGGATGGAGAAAAGAATCTTATCTTCGAACGTACGCGGTCGCGAGGAGGCTGCCTGCTGAATAAATACAGGTCCAGATTCAAGTCCTACTGCGAAAATTCTGCGATTCGTCTAGCGGGACTCGAAAGAGCCGAGTAAGATGTAAGATACGGGGATTTAAAAACGCGCGGGTGCGGAAAGGAAGGAAGAAGAGCGTGAAAATATCGAGAAATCATATCGCTTTATTAAATTCCATGCGGAAATATTTTTGCAGGAGGCTTTCCTGAAAGGAAGAGTGAGCAAGTATCTCAAATTTGCGAATACTACGGAACAATTATGAGCAAGAACGTTCTTCTTACGTAACATTTATGCGAAATGTCTCTCAAACTCTCATTTCATATTTTAAATAAAATACAAATATATACAATACAAATAGTTCACATCGTACTTATATGACGCGAATCGATGTAATAAAAATTCTAAGAAATTTTCGCAAAAAAATTGGCGGTTACAGACTCGCGAACATAAGCACGGAGAAACTTTCTCGTCCTTTTGCGCACACGCGACAAATGACTGCGTCCTTCTCTTCGCGCTCGATCGAATTAATCGTTTCACCGGAAAGAATTCATTTCCCCGTAGACGCCTAATTACGCGCTTTTTCTCCATCATTCTACCCATCCGATCTATTCCCCAGCATCTAGTACGCGAGAGGAAGAGAGTGAGTGTGCTTCCCAATAGAAGGAATCGGTCGTGAATCACTAGTGAAACGAACTTGATGCGGAAGTTAAAACAACGGAAATTCTTCTTTTAGTTAGGAACATTAGGAATGATTGATCTTTTGTTGGAAAGATTGAAAAATTGTAGTAATATCGCTATAAATTAGCATTATACGTCACGTAACTTGTTCAATATTGCTGTCGAGCACTCTTCGGCGGTGTTTGGCCATGCCTTCAACGAATTCTTCTGGCGTAGCTTCGACTTAATGGTCGCCACATGGCTCCACATTCCAGTTTTAACGCTTATTTTTTTCAAGCTTTATCGTTATGGCCGAACCTAAACCGGATAATGCCGTCGTGTTTAAAAAATTCATGGAAGGCACTATCGTGCCGTATTTAATAAAGCGATCCGCAAATATCTTAATTAAATGATATGGCTCGTCTTTCAAAAATCTCGATAAAACATTGCTGTTGTAGATTATAACAAAAATTGAATATTCACGCTTAATTAGATAGATGGTTACGTGATGCGCTGTTATCGAGTATTTAAATGACCAACTTGGACGACATCGAGATCAGCCTCGGCATCAAACCATCAATGTTGATTTTGCCATCAGTCTCGACATTAGACGACGCATACAAGCGGGAAGCATTTGTTAATAAACTCATGCTAGGTCTGCTAGCACGGCATTTATAGCAGTTTGCCAGAGGCGCTTTAATCAAAGAGTAACGGACAATTACAATCATTCCCGGAGCAGATTTTATCCGCCATTGCGTGGATTCAACTTCAAAGTGTACACCAATATCAGTATGCATTATAAAATGTATTATTAAACGCTAAATAATGGTTGTTGGCAAAAATAAAATACCGATATTTACACATCGCTTTGACG